CCCCCAGCCACAAAGAAGGCGGAGCGAGAAGCCGCACCGGCGGACGCCGGCTTGTTAGCCCTTCACACGCCGCTCCTTCTTTTGAGGAACGTCGCTGGGGAGATGTGGAGTCCAAATCAACACCAAGAAAGATGATCCGCATATGAGTCAAGTTGTAAGCAGCGAGCGCATCAAGCTAACGCAACAGAAAAAAAACCCCACTCTGTGACAACAGTTTTTGGGAGCCAACGGGTGGTCGAAATCGTTCAAAATGAAAGCAGTCACAGCTCCGAGTATGATTAAACAACTCGAATACCCAGTCGTAAAGAACCCACAATCCAAGTCTTTTGTCCACAAAATGCTGCTTCACATATTGACTGTGGTCGAAATCGTTCAAAATGAAAGCAGTCACAGCGCCGAGTATGATTAAAGAACTCGAATACCCAGTCGTAAAAAACCCACAATCTAAGTCTTTTGTCTACAAAATGCTGCTTCACATATTGACTGAGAGTTCTGTGCTAGCGTGAGAAGCTAACGTAGCGTTGTACAACTTCACGCTAGACTAACGTCACAGATGAGATGGACTCAAATGCATCGAACCATTCACACGAGATCCAAGTGTCTTTCAAAACCAGACACGTGAGATCCAAGATCTCCTTTTTTTTGTTTTTTGCCAAATGATGAAACTTTTTTTCCATTTGTAACCATAAGCCATGATGTCTCCGGCCTGCCAATCTTGTGTTGCTCTCATGACCTCGTGCGCGCCTATCATCAGCACTGTGTCCTTTGGTGTTTTCTGAACATCTGCTTATGCACTCGCTGCCCACTGGCCGGCCAGTGAGCAAGCGGCGGCTGACGCCCACTTGGTCGCGTCGAACCTAAAACCCTTTCCTTCTGAGCAAACAATCGTCCCGCCGACTATTTTGGTCTCTCGCTGAATATTCCGCCAAGCAGGCAAAGCAAAACAAAGCAAAGCGAAGCAACCTCCGTGAGATTCCTCTGGGTTGTCGGCAGTGGTAGGAAGTATCCATCCATTATCCGAACCGCTTCTCCTCACGGGGGTCGCGGCCGTGCCAGAGCCTATCCCAGATGTCTTCGGGCAGCAGGCGAGGCACACCATCAACTGGTTGCCAGCCAATGGCAGGGCACACAGAGACAAACAACCATTTGCGTCACCATCACACCTAAGGACAATTTCGAGTGTTCCATTAACCTGCCGTGCATGTTTTTGGAATGGGGGAGAAAACCGGAGTACCCGGAGAAAACCCACGCGGGCACGGGGAGAACATACAAAGTCCACACAGAAAGCCGGAATCGAACCCACAACCTCTGCACTGTGAGGCGGACGTGCTAACCAGTCAAGCACTGGGCCGCCTCACAATAAAAATACTTAAAAATACTACCTTGACTTATGACCAAGGCCATAACCGTTTTCATTGATCTCAAATCAGTGTTACCCACTGAAATGAGGTGAAATGCCATTCATCAATTCCAGCTCTTAAAAACAAAAACAAAAAAATAAAACCCCACCACTCTATTTTGTTAAGCGTTTCACATCGGAAATTCGGTCGGCATGTCTAACATAAAAAGAGCCACAAAAATGTTTCGGGAACTCCTGCCCGAAAAGACATGGGAAGGCAGCCATTTTGGTTGAAAGAAGCCATTTTGGGATTTCCAGGAGTCGTTTGAATCTGGAAAATCGAGCCTCCAAAGCCAGTTTCACATGAGGAACACGAAATTCGGGAGGCCTGGCTAGCATGAGTAGAACCCAAATAGAAACATACCGGACTTGACTTTACCGACACCCAAAAAAAGTTTGGGTTGAATTGACTCCATTTTGCTTCATCAAGTTGATTTCATCAGTACGTAAATGAGTAGAGTTGATATTTCTACTTTTACCTTTTTTATTTTACTACAAGTAGCTTTACTTCCACTTAGGTATAGCGTGAAAGTCGTTTTACCACTTCTGGTCGTTGTGGTCGGACGGAGGGAGCCTGGGGGGTGCGGGCGGGGGGTGGT